ATTTCTGTGTCGCCCCGAGCCCTCATTACGTCTCCCCTGCTTGTGACGTTGAGCCTCTCCAAATGAGTTCTGCTCTGGGTTCTCCAGGCTTAATGGAACGGCATCGTGTATTGTGGCCTTACGAGCTTTTAGGGAATCCCGTCAGTACTTTTCCCAGATAAAAATCGCTGATGTGCAGCTGACCCTCTATGTGGGTGTGCTTCTAGTAGCCAAAAAGGGACAGTAACCTGTGACACAGGTTTAAATCGAGAGCACTATATATTTGAGTTCTCTCTGTGTATAAAACTCCAACTGTGTTCTTCAACAGGTGACAGTTTAGGAGCAGCACTTGTTCTCTGGAGGCTCTAAACAGATGTCTCTGTTTACATTTGAGTTAAATTCCTTCTAATAACATTGTGGTCGATAGTAGGTGACGTGGCTTTATGCTTCCCCTGGGTGAGGCTGCAGAAACGTTTTCTGGTCTCTCCCACGTAAAAGCAGATGGCAACAGGTTTTTATGGACTGCAGTGATAAAAGATCGGCTGGACCAATTTCGGCCTAATACGCGAGGGGCGACAAAATTAAAGTCGTCAGCTTAAAGGCGACAAAATTAAAGCAGATCCTTAAAGACGTGCTTTAAGGATCCCCCACCAACAACTTAAACCTCAGCAGTTTACTATGAACTGCCTTCCAGGAGCTATTGTTTTTTTCTTAAAGTGGCCACAAGGCGGCGGTAAAGGGCTACACACTTGCCCCAATCACCTCCCCTTTTCACCTGCCCCTTTAATTCCCGGTCTCTCTAATAGCCCAACTCGCCCCTGCACCCTATGCGGTTTTATTTCAACAATCCTGGTCTACCAAGGAGGTCGCTAGGGGCTCCTGTAGTCCAATCTGAATATTGGGCTCACATTTCCTGTGTTTTTGACAAGTCGATGGCAACAAAGAGCTGACAGTGGCACTCAGTTCGTGACCAGGGAGTAGGTGGGCCTCTTGCCTACTTCAAATAGTTATGCTTCTCTCCAAATCCTTGGCGATGTCTTCTCCGCGGAATTTGTCATGGTTTACATGGATTAAAGTACTTTTTGATTCTATCTCCACTGACGTGCTGTTTGCTGTTGCGTGCACCTGGGGTCCTGATAAGAATGTGTGAAGGGGGGCGCCTGGGTGGCTCCGTCGGTTGAGCGTCGGGCTTGGGTTCAGGTCATGATCTTGCTCAGGTCATGATCTTGTGGCTCGTGGGTTCGAGCCCCGGGTCGGGCTCTGTGCCGACAGCTCAGAGCCTGGAGCCTGCTTTGGATTCTGTGTCTCCCTCTCTCTCTGTCCCTCCCTTGCTCATGCTCTGTCTCTGTCAAAAATAAACATTAAAAAATTTAAAAAAAATGTGTGAAGGACACATGGAGACAACCTGAGGGTTACAGTTAGCCTCCTTTCAGACCGTTCTGTATGCCCAGAGGCCCCGTGAAACCCACCAGGCTGGAGAAGAGAGCTTCAGCTGAAGCACCGTTTGGGGGGCTGAGGTCACTTAGATTCCCGTGAGGAATTCTGGGTTTGAACTTTAGTCCCCTTTTGTGCCTTGAATGAATGGCACCTATGTGTATACTTGCTTTTTGCATGAAAAACGTCTGTAGGTTGTTCATTCCTTTGAGATGAAGGCACCAACCATAATTCCAATCATGCCCTCAATTCATCGGGAGAACTACAGACCGCGGCAGATTTACCGCTCCCCCTGCTAGGTTCAAAATCAGACTGATGAGCCGCTTGGTGAGCTGCCTGACCCCCAGGCATCCTCACAGCCAAGGCTGACTTTAGCTGGGCATTCCAGTCCTCTGCGCAGGTGAGAGGCTCCCCACTGGCTGGATGGCATCGAACACGATGAGGCCTGGATGAGGAGGATCCAAGGACAGTTGGAAATTCTCTCCCCTTTCTGGCACTAATTCCACTCTGAATGATTCTCCACGAGTGAGGAAAGGCAGCCATTCCTCTGATTAATGGTGTTTCTTTTTCCAGGTTTCCATTATCCGGATGGAGGGAGTTAAAGGCCAACATGGCCACGCGAAAGGAGCTGTCAACGCTGAGGGCCCTTTACATGGTTTGACTCCTGCTTAATCGTAGCTGATTTGCTTGGTCCCTTGACCCCAGACAGTCATCGTGTCACCTGGCTACCGCCTGCCTGTCGAGCAAGGGCAGCTGGTTGCAATCCCTGCAGATGAAGATTCCCTTGGTTTTTTACGGCAGGGCCATGCCTCCCTTGTCCCCCCCACCCCACCCCCACCCCCAAGGAAATCTGGCTTGGTAAGGGGAATCCTCAGGAGCCCCAGTGGAACAACCCTAATGACGTTGCGGGCAACCTGGTGAGGCTGGTTTTTGCACGAGCTACCCGTTCCTTTAGATGGAGCCCAGCCGGTGGCAGGTGGCACACAGAAATCTATTCACGTTCTGTGTTTCTGACTTCCACGGCCGTGTGACTGGGAAAAGAACTGTTCTTCTGTGTGAAGAGTCGCCCCCTTCCGAGGATGGTTGAGAACAGCCACTGTTACTTGAATCCTTGGTACCTAGAGCCGGGGCCGCTTCTCCAGGCTTTCCTCTGCCTCAGGGCTTCTGAGATCTGAGGGCAGGGGACGTCACTGCTGGTGGCCCCTTCCTCCAGGCTGCGCCTCAACCAAAGGTTCGTTTCCTAAAGCCTTCGCCAAGACCTCTGCCAAGTCTAGAGGTTCAGGGACAAATGTCCTCGTCCTCTATTCAGTATTTTCCATGTTGCGTCCTCAAAGTACAGACCACTTACGACACCGCAGATCTAAATACTCCCACACCAGAAGCACAAGGAAGTACGCCCCTCGGCTAGTTATTTTCGGTGCGTTTAAGACGCGATCTATTTTCCCTCCTCGGTTATACAATGCTGCCTAGTCCCCCTTGCCCCTGAAGCAGACAAGCACAGTTAGTCCTGTTCCTGTGCCTTTACGTACCTCTAAGGCTCTCAGAGGGCTTTTCCACGTGAGGGTGATGTTTATTCCAAGTTCATCCTTTGATGAAGTTTCGGTAAAATTGCAGAAATCCGTAGCTCTTAGTTACGTCCTTTCTTTCCATGGCATCACAAACACCAGAGAGGAAAGGGTGCATGATCTGTTTTTGCTCTAAGGATGGGGATTGCCCTACAGGTGAGAAGTCCAATCAGGTATCTGGGGCTCACAGGCTAAAGGGAGGTCGAGAGAGGTGCTCCTCAAAAAAAGCCAGTTTTGCTCAAGGTTTTTGATCCATGCGGTGGGAGTGGCCTGACGCATTGACGATGGGAGAGCTTACCTATGGGAGCCCAGATGAGGTCCCTTTTTATCTTAAGTTTCCCAATTCCCTTTTTTTTTTTTTTTTTTTTAACATTTATTTATTGCTGAGAGAGCATGAGCGGGGAGGGGCAGACAGAGAGGGAGACAGAATCCGAAGCAGGCTCCAGGCTCTGAGCTGTCAGCACAGCTGGACATGAAGCTCGAACTCACAAGCCGCAAGATCACGACCTGAGCAGAGGTTGGATACTCAACCGACTGAGCCACCCAGGGACCCTTTCTGTGTTGTTTTAAGTCAATTCTCTCCTGGGCAATAGTTTGACTCGACTTTAAATATGCCACGATGAGGAGCGCCTAGGTGGCGCAGTCGGTTAAGCATCCGACTTCAGCCAGGTCACGATCTCGCGGTCCGTGGGTTCGAGCCCCGCGTCAGGCTCTGGGCTGATGGCTCAGAGCCTGGAGCCTGTTTCCGATTCTGTGTCTCCCTCTCTCTCTGACCCTCCCCCGTTCATGCTCTGTCTCTCTCTGTCCCAAAAAAAAATAAATAAATAAACGTTGAAAAAAAATATTTAAAAAAAATATACGCCACAATGAAAAGGCAACTCTGGAATGTACCTGTTAACTCAGGTTTCTGCTTTATCGTTTTCATAAACCGTTTCCACAGCACCTCTCAACTAGAGGTGGAATCGTTGTAAAATGTTACGGATAGAAAACTGAGGATTGCTCAGTGAAGCTGAATAATGCTCAACAGCTCAATCTTCTTGTTCAAATTGTACTGTTTTTCAGAAATGAGCTTGCTAAATCTGGCACCATATTCTGGTATTCTCACTTAATAGGACCAATCTTAAGTAGTAATGGGGTGAGAAAGGAAGTCTATTACTTAGTGTCTTTAAAAGGTCAACTATGGGGCCCATTTTGCTTGTCCAAAAGCAGTCCCCTCAAAATAGGGGCAAAGGTTCAGCTGGTACACAACTGGTGGCCCACGTGAGACATCGCTCACGTCATCATCAGGCCGAAGAGGACACACTTGTGGACGCGTCTCGGCAGAATGGTTTCAACGGCATGGCTTATGTAACCGAGCAAATTATTACCATCCACCATCCACAGTGGAGTGTGGAACTCGAGCTGCAAATCTATTTCTCACACCGTCCCCAATCCCCTGCGAGATCACCCACGGCTCTCACTTCCTGTGGCAGAACACATACCGAAGCCAAGATGCAGCGAAAGAACACGGATCTTCTGGCCCGGGAGCCCTGAGCGGGCACCCCGATGCCCAGCACTCCCGGCAAGATAATCTGCACCTCGTCTTCCATCTGTAGGGCAGCGACACCAGCCACCAACACTTGCAGGACAGCGCATGTGACTGAACTTATTTGGGGTCAGGAGCCTGCTGTATCATCTGGACTTAGGGACAGATTCACGTGGGTAGTCCGGTAACGGCAAGAAAAACACACAGAAGAATTCTACGTGCTAATACCTGGGAATTTAAACTGTACTTCCTATTTTCAAACTTTAACACCACCTTCTGATAAATCTTGCCTCTGGCTGAGCTTATACTCCAGTTCTCATTCTCATCTGTAAGTCAGTAAAGGAAGAACACAGGTTACATGACAAAGGTTCCCCTCCGGCTTTGGATTTAACAGCAGGTGAAAACTAAGCAGAAAGAACACTTGCATTAGAACTCCAACTCTCAAAGACAAAACCTACGTATTTACTTGCTTAGATTTGGGAGCCTAACTGCTCACAGAAGGATTCAGAGATGTTTCTTTATTGTCAAGCTGCAACATACATGGTTTAATACAACAAAAAAGCATTTAATCAGGTGAAAAAAAGCTGAACAATAAACAAATAAACACTCAAAACAAAATATTTTCCATTGGAAACATGTTAAGATGAATACGGGGTTTCGTTACCATCTTACTGCAATTTTCTTGTGTGTTACTAGCCTACATACCCCATGTTTTCTGTAATCATGCACGTGTGAATGGGAGTTTGAACGATTAAATACATGAAAAGTCCGTTTACTGCAGAGAGTCATTTCACGAGGCAGCCACACTGGGTTTAGAGGACAAAATCATTCAAGAAATTCTCCACGTCTTCGGGTTCGTTTTAGAATCCATGAACCTTAAGCTGTTCCTCCTTGACAATGCCAACCTGCAAAACAAAACGTAACAGAATCGCTCTGAGGGATGCAGGATTTCAGCCCCAAGAAAACGTGGAGCCCCGATGATAAAACAATCAGGGTTACCAGTCTGTTGCAACACTGTTCCTTGTGGCGTTTACCGTTAGCAATTCAATAGACGCTTACACACCTTGACGTGCCCCAAAACTGGCTGTGCAGATACAAGAACGGTCACGTCATTCGAATGACAAAATAAACCAAAAAAGGTTCCGCTGCCTTTAAAGTAAGTACCGACACTGTATTTCTCTCTCAATTAACGGATTTACCTCATTCACGTAATTTTTTTTTTTTTTTAATGAAGTAGGAGATAATTCACATTGTCCTTGAATACAATTTTGGAAGCAATGTCAAGGTTGTACATAAAGCACCCAATCACTCACCTCCAGGAGAAACTGGCAAATGTTTTTTCTTTGGTCACCTTGAAGCTGAATAACCTCTCCGTACTCAGGATGCTCAATCACAGTACCATTACAGGCGAATTTCTGGAGAAGGAGATGTGTCACACAATGGAGTCACATACAACAAGGAGGATTTACTTTGACCATTAAGACCCATACCATTTGAGTAGAGCTGATCGTGTTTACGTTTGGTCTCCCCAACACTCCCAAATTAATTTGCAAGTGAATCAGCAGGAAACATACGGGGAATGATTTTACTTAGAACACCAAGAACTGAGTATTCCACATCTCTTTGGTTTGAAAGCCATTCACATCTCAGTTTGAAATGGGAGGCCACCCATAAACGCCTGGGTGTTAATTACCAGAACCAACAGGCTTTCCCTTCCCGAGCCCCATCGTTTGCGCCCACACTGTTGGACTCGAGTAAGGGTGTCCTGCTCGGAAGCGCATCAGCAGCTGTGGTTTAACCTTTTCTTCCCAACACCTTTACCTTTTTGAAAGCTTTCACAAGTTTCTTTTTGTCATAATCATCTGCGATGCCCTGGACAGTAGTCAGTGTCTTTCTGCCGTTCCGTTGCTGGATTCTTATATGAATGTAATCCTCAGTCCCTGCCGGGAGTAAGTCGTCACCCTTAGTTGCATCAGCAAAGGGGTCTGCAAAGGGACACACACAAAAAATGCCAAAGCAGAAGAATTACCTTCCAGAAAGTGATTCCCCGGTGTACGGCCCACTACGATCCAGGCCAGCGGCAAAGAAGGTTCTAGTGCCTCTGCTGTTTTTGCGGGTGGGGACGGGGCGGTGATGGGGGTGGGGCATTACCAAAACCTCCAGGCAAGGTACTCTCGCAGAAAGAGGCGCATTTGAACGGCCGATGCCCCCCCCCCCACCCCCCCATCCCACTAAAAAACCCTTTTTTGGGGAGATTTTTGGGGGGGGGGGGCCCCCTCAGGGGGGGGGGGGGGCAGATTTCAAAAACACGATTTTACAGCTACGATAAAGACGTGCGTCATCTCGCCTACATTCTGATGACAACAGAGGCACTCGAACGTGCCCACCGCAAGCACTTAACCGTGGCCGCGTCTGGAAGCAGCGGAAAGGAGAAACCTACCCACGTCCACGCACAAGCACGAGCGCGGGTCTCCCTCCCCAAAGGCGTCATTTTACAAATTACTACGCCAGCCGAGGAAGCTGGACCGCGGGCCCGTGACCCATCGGAGGCCGCGACCCGCGTCTCCAGCCCGACGCCCGCCGGAGCTGCGGGGCATCGGCTCCGACCGCCGAAGGACGCCGATCCCCGGGGGGCCCGGCCCCGCGGCGCCCCGCGAGCGGAAGGGCAGGTCCAGGCGCGGCGTGCCGGGCTCGCAGGCGCGGCGGGGGCAGGGCCCCCCGGGGATCGGCGTCCTTCGGCGGTCGGAGCCGATGCCCC